GTAGGAAGGCATAGTTAACGATAACTTTTAATAATGCTAAAAAAAACTCAGAGAATACAAGGATAGGGCAAGACAAGCTAAAAAAAGATGTTTGGATCAAGGGCCCATGAGTAAATGGAAGAAAATGGTTAGCAAGGAAATCAAGAAAAGTTTTCAATTAGTGTGGTCTGCTCAAAGAAATAACTACAACGTTGGTGACCAGACGGTCACAGGAATATAAAGACGAATAAACACAACCGTCACAGAGATTCTGCAATAGAGCCAAATTGACTAAAATTCCGCTCGAGGTGCAGGTGACAGACAACGATAGGCCTTCATACATTGCTCTGGCTATACGGGTTGAATCAGGAAAATGAGCCTTAGAGATAATGCCTGATATCCTCAAGCATTGGAATTAGAGCCTAGTTGTTCTGCTTTGTGATGAGAGTGTACATACTATTGAAGGCTTGAGAAATAGCACCCTAAGTCAAACGTATGCTTGGACTAGAGCCGATTAAAATGAGCCAATTATAAAGATAAGAAAAGAATCTACATGCTTCTAGTGGGGATAAGGAGAGGAGGTTCAAGTCGAATTAATAAGTCAAGAGGGAAAGGTAAACAGCAGGTTTGATGATGCCACATTAAATTAGAAAAAAACAGCTACACCCATGAGTCGAGTATAAACAAGTCAGAAGTTGTGATAGAGTTGGAATGAGATAAGAGGATAGAAAGTAGGTAATGTACCAGAACAGAAAGAAGTGATAGCATAACCGTTCGGCAGATGGCTGTTCAAGGGATTGATTTAACTTGTGTCATTGACGAGTTATAGTTAGGTGCTGAGACGTCGAGTATGATGTCGACGAAAGATCTGGGAATGTCCACGTTTCGATGCGGGGTATTATGGTAACTGCTGTAGCAGAAGACTTCAGACAAGGTGCGTCCAACTAAGTTCTCTGACAAGATGACAAAGTTGCGAAAACGGGGTCAGACCACATCTATAATTTGAAACTTTTATGGAAATATCAAGCATGGCCTAATTCTCAAAAAAACAAATAAGATCAAAATATGAACCACGAAGAGACTAAGAGAATCAATTAAGCATTGAGTAGTAATAGGCTTTGAAGTTCGGATTAAGCTGTATAGGAAGACAAGATTGATTCTGTACATATTTAGGGCTCAATCCAGTATAAGTGGCGATTAACTTACGCATTCCTAAATGTCAATAAATAAACAGGGACTCGGCTAGGCTGCGCAACCGCCCATTCAACCTGTTTGTAGGTAGACAATGAACGATCAGCTGGACGACCGAAAATACGTAGCTGACGAACCGAGAGCCCAGGCAATTGGGGCAGGGGACCGATACGCAGAAGGCACGCTGGAGAACCGCCAAGCGGGTGCTCCATCTCCGGAGCGTAACCATAATTAATTGGTGATGAAAGAAACTGGCCTTCAGGCAAACCAGCTGGCGCCACTTCAAGCTGAGCTGGGAGAGGTATCAGATTTTCTGCAAAGAACGAAGTAGAAAATTCAATTAAAGAAAGATATATATATATATTTAGCAGCGTAATTCATATAGGGAAAATGCAAGAAATGTCTAACAAGATTCACTTTGACAGGTTGCCTAATAATGAGAATGCTGAGCAGAAGGTTAGTTAAGAAGAATATGATCCCGCACCTTTAACAAATCCTTGACCACGTATTATAGAGACAAGAGACACGTTGACATCGTAACCCCAGGCATGGATGTTGGAGACGACAAAGGTTACATAGGCATCACGAGGTGAGATGATCTGATTGAACACGAAGACAGAACTATAAAACGGCGAGTGTGGAGAGTGAAATGTGAAGTTTGAAAAATAATAATAAGATATTCGAATTAAGATGTGAAATTAATTGGAACAAATGAAACTGAATTTTAGTATATCTTTTATTTAGCTATTTGGGTACGCTTCCTAAATCCAACTCAAAGACAGTATATTCTCGAATATATATATATAAGCGTAACTCATGCAAAAGAAATTTAAGCAATCCCTAACGAGAAGCAATTTGACACGTTGCCGGTTAAAGAGACAGGATGGAAGGCTGAAGTCAAATTAAGCTTAAGAATAAATATAATATAAAATTTAGAATTATAAAAATGAGGCGAAATTATTAGCAAATATTAAATACAATAGTGTTGGTTCGATCTTGTTTTCACAACTTTGTCGGAGCGACACGGAGACCATTTGGAATGTACCTAGTCTGATATCCTCTGCAATAGTCCCATTAATACTCGAAACAAATACAAATAGTTTTAAATTTAGAACTTAATTAGTCTGGTCGGTCCAGGTGATGAGCAAACAGTGATGTGAATAGGCCTCAAGAGTAAATTCAAATTTAGTTAGCTTTGACTACTAAAAGATACTCACTTGAGAGAAGTTCAAAAAATATTCACAAACACCAAGCCTGTTAACATCAAAAATAATTGTCAGCGCTGATTACTGAAAATAGCTGTAATGAAGCCGAGGATTTTTGTATGATAACAATTTTTGCAATATAATATTCTTTATAATATAAATAAAAATTTATCAAAGATAGCTTCACTCATAAATATAGGACATAAACCGATTTATTCACTCTAAGTAACGTAAAGTGATTAAGGACTGATAGTTTAATTTTTCTATAATAATATGAGTATGCCCGATATTTCCATTTAATTAACTTAGCATTGCAACACAAATAAATTATATTTCAAGGTGGATTGTAGTTTCAAATTAGCCTGTATCATCAGTATCTTTAACGAGAAACGAACCAGGGTAGTAGAAGATAAAATTTCTATGTTACTACTAGACCATATTTCCAAAGGCTTTTATGAGTCAGAGCGGATGTAAACTATAAGTTCAGATCTCTACCATATTACATCGATAGTGGGTTTTTCGATAGGACAAACGTGTAGTTTAAAAGGAAGAACTAGTTTCGAATAAAACTTTAGTGATTTAATGCGAGTCAAATGTAAAATTCGAAAGAGAAGACATTTGGGAGGAATTAGTAAATTGGCCTTTCCGAAAACCAAAGTGGAATGCATTAGAATGAAGACTGTTGGATTATGACGGAAGCACTCGGTACAGGGTACTATGCCCCAGAGAGCATGTGCTAAGCTTTCGTGTTTAATGTGACAGACATTGTTAGAATAAGAAATTAAACTTTAAGAAAAAGCACACAAGCAATATAAACAGAGAGCATGTGTGACCAGATGAAAAGCTACGACTTTCCTATACTTAATTTAGCTATCTCAACAGGGATCCCCAAATTTGTTTGGCCGCATAGCGTCTACCATACATGCTTGAATATAATAAGGTTAATGAAGAAAAAAGTCAAAAATGGACGAAATAATTTTCTTATATAATTAAACCAGCGTACGATTCTATAAAGTTGAAGCACGTTTAACTACTCACTATTGTATAATGTATTTATGTGATGCTCAAAACATGTAAGGTGTGAGAGCCATAACTTCTTCCTCTTGCTCAGCTATTCCTTAGTCACTCTCTCTTCGTCTCAGTCTCTTTAAAAATATCCAGAAGCACTCTATTTACTACACACGCTCCTTTTATCCAGTCCAGCACGTGCTGACCAAGGACGTAGAACGGTGAGCCTAGAGGTTCTCTAGAAAATCCAACAGTCTCACACCAAGGCAATACTCAATCAGTTATCGCTGAAAACAATTTATGGATTTTTTTACAACCAACTTTTCGTTCGAAATTAAAATTCAAGTTTTACTAGGCTCGATTTTTCCATCATGATCTATTACGATATTTATATCCATATGAAGAAGGTTTAGAGTCTATGAGTATATCCTGAATAAGAGTTATAATAACCCTAGGTCGCATAAGGTGATGAAGTACTGAAGTAAAAATCTTCCAATAATAATATGAGTAGGCCTCCCGCCTGCCCTGTGAGACACGGCACTAAAGGTAAAGTGGCGTGGTGGTAAGATTCGACATTATACGCTACACTACCAGAATTCAACTCTTGCCTAATGAGACACACGACGAGATCGAAAGTGCGGTCCATTCTGGATAAGAATATCTAATGGAAAGATAGGTTTATTAAACTGTAATGGCTTGATGAGGCATACTCAAATCATTGTGGGAAAAGACCATTTTCAGTAATTCACCACCTTATGCAGCCTAGAATGATTGGAACTAATATTCAAGATTAAGTGATATTCTTGAAGCCTGCTTCCTAAGGATAAAAGTTCAGACTATAATGAAATAAGATCAAATCTATAAGATGCTAACTCTTAAGGGCAAAAAAAACCATGATTCAAAGTTTTCTTACTGAGGCGCTTCCAAGTTATCTAAACTGAGGTAGACAGGTAACGGTGCCGAGTTGGGTCGAAAGATATCCTCGCCAGATTCAAGCATCCAGATACCAGGTTGATCCTTGGTTAGGTCCACCGCTTGCTCATAGACGGAGGAGACCAGTGCGAAGTGCAAAGCCGTTTCATGGGCTGGATTGAAGGGCTTATAATTAAGCAAACTCGGTGAAGATGATTTAAAGAAATGGAAAGGAGGGAAAGCAGAAAAAGCTTGCTGTTTGTTTCGGTGCGGTGTTTCAAATGCGGAGTCGGGATACT